TATGTATATAAAAAGGCGTTTATTTTCACGCACCATCGCTCGAGGACAGATAATGCTGCAGGATTTATCGACTTGTATTTGCATCGAGAGGTGTCCAGGGAATTAAAACAAAAAATATCAGGCGAGATTGTTAGATTTAGAAAATGATAAAAGTTAATTTAGATGCCCTGATTTATATCGCATTTATCAGTGATTTACTCGTAGTCTAACTACCACAATTAACTGCAGTTACTTTACATAAATTACACCGATCGATCCATCAAAAAAAAGAGAGAAAAAAATAGAGAAAAAAACTAACAATGACTCGAAGGAGCAAATGGGAATTGGTTAATACGATATCTAACGATCTTGTCAGCGGTGAAAGATTTAGTATATCGAAAATATCGCGCGTGCGAAGCATTTTTTTCCAATTTGCATGTTAAGTTCTTCATTCGCGCCGCTTAAACTGCTACGCTGTCGTCGCCATGAATCCCAAATGAAATAATGCATCTCGGTTTTCTCTCGTTAATTTTTCGTCCCGGTACAGGGGAAAAAAGTATTGCGCATATTAAGTCGTCGGTGGATCGAGGCTGCTCTGGAGGCGCCTCCCTCGACGTGCACACGTTCGCTCGCTCGACACACGCAACTTCTCGAATAACATCATTTTTTGGATTTTACGACTCGAATGCAGTAGTAGTAATATTACAGTGCCGAGAAGGCAAAAGAGAGGCGTAGAGTGGGCGAGGGAGAGAGAAAGAGAGATGCGCATTTGGCAAAGGCGCAGAAACGACGGAGAAAATCCATAGCACGTCGACGACGACGACGACGAGGACGACGTAGAGAGGCAGCACGAATACCGAGAGCGAAGAGGAGCAGCGGCACACACAGAGGCGCACCACCGCCGTGTATATTATCTGCATTCACGGCACGCGTACGATTTATTCGAGAAAGAGGGACGCGGCAGAGAGCGAGGCCGGGGGGAAAGGGACGCGCAGGATCTCGTTCGGCGACGAGTTATTATTTGATTATGCTTTGATTTTCCTACCTATACAGCTCCATCGGCTCGTTTCGTATTCTTTTGATTTTCCAAACGGGAATAGCGGATAATTGCGACGAGCCGTCATGTTTTATGAATGGGCTCCTCGAGAGAAAGAGAGACACATCACGCAGACGAATCTTCATTGTTTTAAGGAAAGAGAATAGGAAATTAGGCTTTTAAAAATTTTAGCACTCGAACGAGAGCTGTGCTATATACGAAACGGCATTACAAATGTACATAGGTCTGAAAGGTTAAACGCCAAATTGCTTATTAACGTGGCTCTCCTTTTGTCGTTAGCTGTATATAGAGAACGACGAGATTTTACCTTCTGTGTAAACGTATAATTTGGCCTTTGTTCGATTGTATAGTTTTGTCCCGTATATAGTACTACGTGTACCTATGATCGTGGATTAATAAGGAGTTCCACGTGCCGTAAACCGAATCCACGGGATTGAAACTCCGGTTGAGATTTCGCTTTAATAAAAAATAAAAAGAACGCGAGACGTCGAGAAACAAAACGCGAAACAGCAAACTCGTAAAAATTGCGTCTTTGTACATTTTCAAGAAAATCGCAGGGCAGTAAGGATTTGTAAAAAATAAAGGAGAATATAAGAAGAAGAAAAGCCGTCATCGCGCTCACTCTTGTATTCTCTCTCGCTCTCTTTTTCCATAAAGAAAAGCATTTCTGCCAACGGAAGAAAATTGTCTTTATCGAGTATCGCGATGGGCGCCGCCGACGACGTCGTCGTCGTCCAACGGCTGTACCGTGTAACGCGCGCCGGGCGCAAGGTGACGTTATCTCGTGGGACGAGTTATAAGAATAACAAGGTCCTCTTTATACGCGTCGAGATAGCGGCGGTAATAGCGCCAGCTGATCCGTTTTCGGACAAGAAGTAAAGAGAGAGTTGCAAATTTCCCTCCGAATGAGTAAATATTTTCCTTCTTTCCTCTTTATTTCTTCGTTCCTTTCTTTTTTTTGTCACGAGCTGCAAAGCGGATAAATCAACACTCTCGAGTGTAATCTTTGGTCGACGATTCAACGAGCTGTGAACGTGACGTTTTAATCGATACTCTGTACACTGTGTAGAGGAGCTCATCGACGCGCGCGCGGAGACAACTTTTTTGGCTGGCAGCAAAATTTTTCGATACTGTTTGTTTTGACTCTGCGTCGGGAACTTTTGCAAATATCACTGCTGGTGCTACTGCCGTCGTCGTCGTCGTCGTCCTCATATATACATTCACATTTGTAATGTCAAGAGGTCAGCCGTGAAAAAATCCCAACGATAACTTTGGTCCGCAGGAGGGTACTTGCGGCGCGCAGCATAGGTATATAGCATATGCCACCACGTAACTGTGCAGTAGTCAGGGTCAAAAAGTTTTTCCTCGAGAAAAACGCAAAGCTTTCTCGAAGGACGACTCGTTAGGAGGTATAGGAAAAAAAGGCGAGAGAGAAGAAACTTGTGTAGTAGTATACCTATTGGTTTGGTCAATGGCTCTCTCTCTCTCATTCTCCCTTTTCTCTATTGTAATACGCGTAACATCTATCACGTTTAGAGATATATTCGCTATAATTAGGCTTAAAGGATTTTCATGTCAAATGTCCAAAGATTTTACCAATGTCAATGTAACAATGCGTACACGTTTGCGCGTTTCGAGTTTCACGAAAAAATCCTCCCTATTACATGTTGAATTGTGTACTTGCGAAATGTTATACGTAAAATTAAATGTGATATGGTTACAGATGCACGCAACAAAAAAAAAGAGAGATGATGTAATATCAAACTTTATTTGTGCGAAAAATGAGTTTCGCTGTCTTTTGGAAACAAGATAACTAATTATTCGTCAAAAACAAAACAAAAAAAACAGTAGCATATACATCTTTCATGCAAATTCCTGCGTTAAAATAATAAATGTCACCGAGCTGAAGAAGCGTTGTAAAGTTGAAAATATTTTGTGAATGCGCCTTCCACAATAAAATGTTCGCTACCGTTACTGTCTAATTTTGAAGCATTTCAGAAACTATCGCGAGTTCGTTAATACCAATAGGCAGATCGCCAAGACGCACATCAAAAGATAAAACAAAATTTTTTTTTCGTTCGAGCTGATATGAGAAATCTTCGAGCTTAATGAAAAATCTTGGTTCCTCTGTCAGCGCGCAGGCAATTTCGAGCCAAGTTCTTTTATACAAACATTATTAAAATTCTCAGCTTATGAAACTGCGTATTGTTGCACACAAACACACGGACACGAGCGCGCGCAGTCTATATACTACTACCTGTCGATGTTTCTCTCATAAAGTTTGATCTGTTCTGGACTCTGCGCTTTTTTACGAGCCCATAAAGCCGTGCTTTTTCGAGTCTTTAAAAATATATGGGCCCCTGCATCATCTACCTCGTCGCGGACAGAGGCTCACGCCGCGTTGCTGGATATTATCATCGGATAAAGCGGGGAATGTACTCTTAATATTTTTCATTATTAGCTACATCGCACAATGGCTCGACCGCTCATGTACGTGTTAATAAAAGAGTCAAAATGAAACTTTTTCTGCAGTCAATGTGTGTGCGCGCGCGGATTCAACGTCATAAAAGAAACTTTACTCCGCGAGGGAATTAATTACGAAAGATATTAAAAGTCTCTCAGTTAAGGTAATATAAAATTGAGTTTGAATTTCGTATCAAACGCGCGCACGACTTTTAACCGAACAAGTAGTAAAATAACGTATCGATGCAGCGGCACAATCGCGTATGCATAATTCATATAATCGTAATTCGTTTAAGCGAAATTACGCGGCTGCAAATGTACGAGCTGTAATTCGAATTAAATAATTCGATTGCTCCGCGGAAGCTTGCATACGTTCGAAAATATTAAAAAAAAATTAATTAATAATCGCGTTCTTAATAAATATAGCTGAGTATAAATTTCACTGCATATATCATAACTATATTTGCTCGATTCAGAGGTGTGCGGTTATTGCGCGCGCGCGCGCGCACGCCTGTATACAAAGCGCAAACAGGGAGAAACGACGGAAAACAAAACGAACGATATGCCTTCGCTATATAGAGAGAGAGACGCTTCGTTAAGCTTGACGACACAACTGTATGTGCTCGCTATATCTACCTCCACACATACAAATGTGTATACACTGCACACAGATATACCTATAGAGAGAGAGAGAGGTGAGACAGCGACAAAGAGAGAGAAAAGAGAGAAAAAAAGCAGCAGCGAGCGCGCCTTCAACTTCTGCCTTTTTATATTCCGTTTGTTTTTTTTTGCTTCTGCTCGACGCTTGCGTGTTTCTTGTATATCGCAGTTATTTTTGTCATCTACGGCTGCGGAGCAATTGTTCGCGCTTGCCTCTACTTTTTTTTTGTCCACCTTTGCCGAGGTGAACTAATTTTTGGTCTTCCACGTTTGTGTATCGCGATTGGTATACCGTTTCTTTTCTGGTTCATCGTGTCGAGCGACGGAAAAAAAGAAAGAAGAAGATAGGAAGTAGTAGAGGAGAAGCTTTTTTACGCCCGAACGAATTTGATTAAGCAGGACAATAAGGATTGCTCGCAGGCTCAAGCAATAAATAAATAAGCTTGAGGCTTGCATGATATATGTATGAATCTGAAGAATGCGTATTATACTAGGAATAATAGGAGCTTTAAGCGGTATTAAAAGTTAATGATTCTTGATGGAAAAGCTTTTAGATAATGCATGTGAGCTCTCGAGGTCTAATATTGCGGCGAAAACAATAAACCGATGCATAAATCAAAGGAATTTCCATTCCAAAGATACTATCTTTTGTATTTTTGATTTTATATACACTCTTTGCCGTGTTGCTCGCAATGAAAACGAGGAATTAAAAGACTCGCAAGCGCGCGGAGACATGGTCACGAATAACTAATAACTTTCAGCATGACTCTCGAAGTCGAAGATAAAAGTCGCTGCCGCGCGACTAAGTATAGCGCGCAACTTTTGCAAAATTGCAGGCAAACTTCATTTTCTTTATCGCAACCATGCAGACGCTGCGTTTGATATTATTATTCTCATTATGCATCGCCGGCTCTTATCAAAGTAACAATTTTTATTTCGAGAAATTTATAAAATAAACTCTCATGCGCATGCAATGAAATTTTATATTGATTTATTAGATCCTGTCTTGAGAGGAAAAAAAATCGATATCAACCTTGCGCCCTACATGGTGAGTAATTTTTATTTATTTTTATTTCTATCTTGCTATATCGACAATGGAAAATTCTGCAGAGAATGAAGTGAAATATATATTTTATAAAAATGTTCCAGGCAGTATTTGAATTCAACAATAAGCAAATTTGCGGCGCTGCCATAATATCGTCGCAGTGGCTCGTATCGGCTGCCCATTGTTTCAAGTACGTTTGCGTATGCGCGCGACGCGCAAGCTCGACTCTCTTTCTCTCGCTTTGTTATGTATTGCTTATTATTTTTTCCGATAATTAAATGCGCAGCGCCGACAGAGACATACGACAGCACGGACGAATAAGAGTTGGCACGTCGTCGAAGGAGACCGGTGGCACAGTTTTTAAGATCAAAAACGTCATCAATCATCCAGGTTTTAAACGTAATAAAGTGTACGACGACATCGCTTTGATCGAGGTGCGTTTTACTTTGAAAAGAGAAAATGGAAAGCTCAGGAGAGAGAGCGAGAAAGAAAAATAATCTATTGGCTTTTGTAAAATGTTGTCAGGTCGAAGGAAACATCGATTTCAACGAGAATCAAAATGCCATCGCCGTGGTGAATTCCGCAGACGTGTACAAGGTCGGCACAAAAATGCAGATAGTCGGCATGGGCTGTCAGTTCTCACCCGATGTAAGTTCCATCGCGAGAGCAATTTCATTCGCATAACTTGGCGCGATTACAAAAGGTTCCTGCCACCTAAACGTTACGAAAAATGTTGTCACTGCGCAGAAACGACACTTCAACGAGATCGTCGCGTCGAGCCACCTGAACAGCGCCAAAGTGGAGATCGACGAGGACTCGGCCTGCGACGCTCTGTTCCGACACTTGAAGATGCCGCAGATGCGGCACGAGATACAGTTCTGCGCCAAGAGCGCACCGTCGGGCGTCTGCAAGGGCGACTCGGGCGGGCCGGCCGTAGTCGACAATCACCTGGTCGGCGTCATATCCCTGAGCTACGACTGGGGCAACGAGGACTATCCCGACACGTACACCAAAGTTTTCCACTATCGCGATTGGATATCCCGGGAAACAAATTTGGTCTTGTAGTAGTAGATAGTAGTAGTGCGTAACAATGTGCAATATCGAGCTGCGCGCAGCAGCAGAGCCTCGAGTGAAAACATTGTTGTGTAATATATAAAGTTCAGGCCATCGTGTGTATATATTTACAGGGATTATGCTTGGAAAATCCTCCATCTTGAGATTAAACATCGGCGCGTTATAAGTAGACGACGAAGAGCTGAGAGAGTCGAGCCTGCAGAGTGCATGCATAAACTCTGGCGCGCGTCTATATAATCCTCGGCGCATGGAGAGAGCGAGAGAAATGTGCAGCTTTTGCGACCACATGCTCGCGTCCCGGGTTATTTGTAAGCAAAATCTCTCAAGTCGGTCAAGCCTCGAGCGAGCGAGCGAGTCGTATAATGTATAAATCGCCTTGCTGGTGTTGCTGGAGAACCATACGTACATATATATGCCACGCGCTCTAAAACAGCAAATAAGCTCTAAATTTGAGGACTGGAGCTGCTGCCTCGATTACATACGAATATATAGGCTTGGAAAAATGAATTCTTATATACTCTGCCGTCGGGCGCGAGTTATTATAGCTAGTTTATTTTAGCTCCAGCTCGCTGCCTCGGCGCGAGAATCAATGAAATTGATTGTGCTCGCGCAGTTGTGAATGCGAATTTAATTACACGAGCGAGTTTACTCGGCTATATACTGTCATTGTTGTTGAGGGGGGCCAGCAATAGCAGCAGCAGCTAGCAGCAGATATTCTCGTCGCGCGCGGCAGCTCGTGCGTCGTATCTGTCGAATATGCATATACGAGCTGTATACGAATATAGGATATATGTATGCGAGTGTGCATGGCATCGCAGAGCGCGAGCGCAAAAGTTTAGAAACAAGTTCGAAGTTTATAACGACGTGTGCACTGTGTGTGTGAGTGAGTGAGTGTGCATGTGTACGAGAGAAAGAGAGAGAGAGTCTGATATATCTATATTACACGTTAAACGAGTTGGCGACTGACACGCATTATACAAGCTCTCGCTGCTGCTGCTGCTGCTGCTATTGCTGCTTGCGACGAGTATGAGAGCGGCTGGATTCGCGTGGCGCGTGCTCCTGACCTGCCATATGCTTCAAGGGTTAAATATGAATTTCAAACTTACATCGCATGCGGCACTTTAATGGACTTTACATAGCTCGTTGAACGAATATTTAGCATACACTCGAATGAAATGCTTCTTCTTCGTCGTCGTCGCCGTTGTTTTTTTTTGCTTGTCTTTTTCGTCGCTGCGGGCGCGCGTTAAATCTATCATTGCTGCGCTCGGCTGCGCCTTTTTCCGGAAGAGGCGAGCGAGAAAATTTTCTTGCTTTTGGACGAGCCGTAACGCGCATATATATATATAAAGTATATATACGTGTATACGTAAGCCATAAACAAACACGCGCTCGAGCTTTTTACAACGCGCACGAATACGAATAAATTTTTACGATTCTCTCTTTCTCTCTCTCTCGCTCGTCTGTGTATATATTGACGCGTGTTGTACGTGTGCGCACGACCAAACTTTTCTCCTCCCGAAATATCTATCAAGTACCCAAGTGTTATACATCTTTATACGGGGCTTCATGCCGTTCGACGTACAGTGGCTCTGATCCCTGATGCCTGCGATACTGTAAACTTACGAGCTTCTTGCGTTTGCATGTCTCGGAGCTTGCGATTGTTTACAGGGCACGAGTATAGCTTTTTATATGCCCCCCCTTCCCCTTTCCCGAGCGAATGCAGAGAACTGAGTGTTTTTCGTAAATGTTGCCTCTGATCGCTGCAGACGTCGAATTATACGCGTCTCTCTGTGTCTCGAGCTTTTGTCGACGAGATATATCCCGCCGCTCGCGCGCGCGTATACAACGCGCGCAACTATAGTGTGTGCTCGATCTCGCGAGATAAAAGCGTGAAATTGACGCGCTTTTATTGAAATTCGCCGAGCGTCGGCATTGATCCGCGAGCATAATACTACTACTACTACCTACGTGCTATTACCACTATACGAAACTTGCAGCCGAGGATCGTATAGGAGCAAGCAAGCGAGCGGGGAAATAAAGTTTTTCCCTCGCTGCGACAGGGCGGCCGACTTATTCACTTTTGAGAAATTTAACTTTCAAATGGGCCGCTCGCGAGCTTGCGAGTTCGGCCGAAATGTCAAAATAATCCCGTTGGCTCATCGCAGTCATGGAGAGCTAGGCTGCTGCTGCTGATGCTGCTGCTGGCCTAGAGAATACTACTCTACTCTAGGCCACACGCCGTTTTTTCGCCCATGTTAACAAGATTACTTCAATCGCTTTAATTGGCGCTCAGAGCCTGTTCAGAGGGAAAAGAGAGAGCGACCCGTGCGAGCGCGTAGCAGAGGGAAGAAAAAGTCCAAGTCACAAACGATTTCAATAGCGGAAAATATCCTTGACTCGCTCTCTCTCTCTCTCTCTCTCTCTCTCTCTCTCTCTCTCTCTCTCTCTGGCGTATCTGCACACAGCCCATTCTCTCCCTCGCTCTCTTTTCCTCTGGAGCTAGCTGCAGCGCTGCACAACCGAGAGAGGTATATACACAATTCATTCGTGAAATAACTTCGTTAGCGTTTACACTCCTTTTCCTTTGCTGCGTGCGCCGCGAAAAGCTTTTCAAAGATTACGGTACGCCACGCGCGTGGGAGTGTATACACCATACACAAAGGAGAAAATTCTCTCGGGCTAGAGCGAGAGCTAGAGATGCTTTTGTGCGGCTGCAAAGATAAATTCCTTGCAAAAGCAGCTCCATATTTATATCCACTAAACATTATTGTATTATTTATAACAGCTGCATATATATAGGTGGCGAGACAATGCGGTCACTGTATAATAAAAGTGCCGAAAATCAATCGGCCGGGCTCGTGTAATCAACCCTTCGTTTCCTCGACTTGGACAAAAAGCTCTACGCTGCAATTTCACGCGTGCGCTGCTGCTGGCCTGGCTGCGCGTTGCTTTGCTCTGTTATTGCGATCGCAGCAGCATCCTCCTTGTTGGGGCTCTATACTACGTATAGCGCCGGGCATAGATATAGCATATTGTTCTGGGTTACTGGAGCTAGCCCTGCGAGTTGACTTATAGACACACTGCACAGGTCGAGTATAGATAATCACCGAATTTCCGCTACCTATCTCGGGGAGGAGAGAGAGCGCCCCGAGGCCGTGTGCCTGCGCATAGGATATGTATAAGCTCGGGTGCTGTGCGCGGCGGCGGCAGAGCTCCAGCGAGTAGAATGGAAACTTCTCCGACTGACTTTCAGGTTCAATTAGCTATACCCACACACGCATACACAAATGCACACACACTCGCAATACCAGAGGGAAGAAGAGAAGTGCAGCGGGGGGCGGGGGACGATATTATATATACTCTGCGGCATTTAATTATGCATCTTATTGTATACGGCCGAGGTGCGCGCATCACGCACGCATCGCTGCCGCCGCCGCCGCCGCCGCCGCTGCTGCTCATTTGCGTATATATACACGCGCGAGTGTGTGTGTAGCCACGGCGGCGGGTATTGGATCAGAGCCAAGAAACTCACGAGGGATCGCGCCGAACGCGAGAGTGAGAGAGAGAGATTTTCGGACAGGTTGCCGGATATATATGTGCATTGTGCATGTGTATACGTATATATAGTCTGCGTCTGTGTAAATTTGTCTACGCGTGTGTGTGTACGCGCGAGATTTGATTTATTTATAGAAGTAACCGCTGCTGATGCTGTGTGAGAGAGAGCTTGTGTATATACGCCCGCGAATGATGGAAACGATTTGCGCATTTTCCACGGGGAGAAAGAGCGAAAGAGAGAGAGAGAAAAAGAGAGAACTCGATGCAATTCGTAAGTGGTATTTTTGGGTTCGCGTTCGTGCAAGCTTATTACGTGCGCGGCGTATATACACGTTTATACGTCAGAGAATTACGATTTTTTCGCGTTATACGTGTGTGCCTTTGAAACAGTCGAGAGAGAGAGAGAGAGAGTCGAAATTTCCAATGGAATTTTAGATGGTGCAATCGTTAAAAGCTATTACAACGAGCTGTACAATATGATACACAGCTGCGACACAGCGTCATCGGGAAAATTGATTATTTGTAAATATTATTGCAATCGAGGAATACGTTTAAATCCATCGGTAGAAGCCTTCAACCGAGGGACTCGTTCTACACAAAAAAAGCAATTTCCAGCGCATTGATTGCACTGCACAACCGTAAAGGAGAAAGCCGAGCTTTTGGGGCCACCCGAAATTACATCGTTAATTGTAAACTTAATTTTAATTGTTTTTAAATTTTGAAAACAGTGTCATGTAGCCGAGAGCTTGAAAACTTTACTCGTGAGTAATCAAAAATGTTTTTCTTTTCAACGTATATTCCTCAGGGTGTAACAAAACTGGATTGCAGCAAAATTCATGATGAAATGAAGTAAAGAAAATTGTTGTTAATGCAATTTTTCAAATTTATTCATTCCTTTCAAAAAAATAGCTCGATACTTTACAAATCATCTCATCACTTTAGAAAATTTATAAAGAAATTGTGGATGCCAGACTTTCCCCCTATACACATTTACAGCTGAGAGTCGCACAGCAGAGGCCATACAGCAGGAACTTGTCTCGCAGGATTTTCGAGTGAGAGAGAAAGGCGCGCGTGGCTCGACGTGGATAAATTTTACTTTAACTCGCGTACATGACTCGCGCGCTCTATATATACAGCCCCTCCGCTATAGCACGCCGAACGAGCGCGCGACACACAGTCGAAAATTCGACGATACAGAAGTTGCATTCGGGTTGCCGTTTCACGTCAGTCAGCGAGTATACGGCTCTATATGTAGTATACTCTAGGCGCACTCGCTTTTCTTGGGGCCGCCGCCGCCGATGCTTCGCCCCGTGATTTATAAGAGCTTTTTCCCCTCTTGAACTGCACTGCGCACTGCATTCACAGCACAGAGACATTTTCGCTATCTGAGTCGCAATAAGCTTTTTGCTCGTCGCTACAGTGTCGCACCGGTATATGTACAAAGTCCGCGTATGCAATATCGTTGAAGATTCGTGCACTTCTTTTTTACCCCCCCCCCCCCCCNCCCCCAATTAATTACGTTATAGATTGAATCTCGCTATCGGCCTCC